CAAGATGACAAATTTAGCCAATTTTCTTGTACCCAATATGTTTTTTTTTTAATTTTCAATCAGTTAAATAGAATTTCTTCTGCGTGTTTCACTATGATTAGGTGTGATGGTGTATAGTGCAAGTGCATATTGAAAAATGAAAATAAAATTATCATAAAAAAACAAAGAGAAGATGGCGCAAAATGGATAGTTTCTTTGAAAAAAAAGCTATACTTGGTTAGTTTCAATATATTGTTTCATTTAATTAGTGTAGTACCTTGTACCTAAATGGTTAAAAATTAAATTATGATTGTCAGATTGTAATCATTTCAGTTATCATTATCATATATTTTAGGTAATATAAAGATGATTAATGTGATAAATTTTTAAATTGTTTAACTGTTACCTAGGTATAAGAATACCATGAGTCGTGGGACATGAAACGTATTGCATAAACTTTTAAAATTACTGGTAAAATAAATAATAATGCTATACAAAATAACTTTTACAGTTACAATTCTTGGCTTTTGCTAGCATAGTATCACGTAGTAGTGAAGTCCATAATCCATGACAAAAATAATGAACAATAAAGAATCTAAGTTCAAAAACGTTTGTCATATATCACAAAATTTAACAGAAATATGGGGAAATATATTCCTACTCAAGAACGATTGCCCAACACTCAGATTTTTAGTATCAGGAGTCAGCTTTTTGAGTTTATCCTATTTGTTTAAGTTTCAAACTGGTATAACATAAAAATAATAGTTAAAAAGTAGATAGCTATATGATGCTTAAAATAAATATAATTTAAAGATGAAATAAAAGTATCTAATTCATAATGTCTTATACTTTAATCTTTAATGTATTAAAATTAATTACCTATAGCTTTAATAGGCACAAAACATCAATAAACTTATATAATATAATTAATACAGGGATTATCTAAACTATTGATTAATGATTTCATTCACTCAGAATGATAAAATAATAATTGAAGTAAGCCGAATATAAGTAATCTTAGCACATAATGGGCATGTTTTAAAGTTGGGTATGTTAATGAAAACAATTAACTACTCCTAATCAATGTACATCAAATTGACCCAAAATATATACAACACAATATGAGTATTTATTTACTCTAAAGGCTTAAAGTTGATATGGAAAATAATATTAACTCAACTCAGTTAAAAATAAGTTATTAGTTTTTTCTAATTACCACCTGTAAAGCCACAAATCGTAATTTGTAAATTTGAATAAATTGTTACACCTAAACATTTTGTCAAAAAAACATATTTTTATTCCTTTTTATTGCACACGTTGTATGTTAGCTATAAACGTTTAGGCAATTAATTAATTTATTTGTGTTTAAAATCATTGTCTATAGCGTGGTTAAACAAAATTTGATAAACTGGCTGAATAACCAGGCTTCGCCAGTGTGTAGATTCTTGAATTATAACTCTTTTTTTAACAGTTTATTAAAGGTAGAGGTTGACTAATGACTATTATAGATTATTAGCATAATAATCTATACACTAATCAGATCCGGGCCGTGGGGGGGAGGGCTAGGGGGCATACCCTACGGGGGTATGATTTATAAGGGGCGCTAAAATTTTTTTATGATATTTTAAACTTTAAGAAGGTGAATATTTTTAATTTTACCCTGGGCGCCAAATCTTAACGGCATGGATCTGATAATAATAATATTATTATATATTTGATCACTTTGTTTTATTGAAAATAGTTATTTCTGGGGACCTACTCTTCTAAAAAGTTAAAATATAAGCTAAAAGTTTAAAGATTATGGTGATATAAAAACTCGGTAACATTTGAATTGTTATCTATATTTTATTCATGAATTCATGATCCCAACATTTGTGTTATTGTATTTTGAAGATAAAACATATACATTTAAATGTTAGTTTGAATTTTTACCTGGTTGAAATCTCTCATCAATCATCACTGATTATGTATGTACCTAAATGTATACAATTAACACATTGTAGCTTGGAAACGAACAAGCGTCATATAGAGTAAAATTTTTGGGTAGTAAACAACTTGAATAATATTTTTTTATTAAATTGTATGTCATAATATAATGAATTTTGGTAGCATTCAGTAGATAAAATAATAAAATTGGCGGGKTAGCAATTGATATCCTTCGCTACATTGAAATGGTGCATTAACGCCTATGAAAACAAATGTACAWATATACCTATCTACATATATTATTTATACATTATCTAAATACTGAAATACATTAACACATTGACATTATTAAATCATTAAATTACCAGTTTTCCAATAAGTTAAGTATTTCCGATATAATACGATTAATTTATTTATAACCAGYCTATCAGTCACTTGCGAAGTCATGTATAGGAGTATATTATACACTTTGAAATTACTGGATATTCTTACTTATATTTTGTGAACCATTTATCAACAATCGACGGGAAGCGGACAGTGACCAACATAAATAATTGTACCAGGTCAACCATCTTAAGTCATATACAATCAACCAGTGTCCAACGTTGACCAAGTACCTACACCGGCTATAGGAAATAGGACCATACGTCAAAACGTAAACCTAAAATGAATATAGTTTATATTTAGGTATGTATATTATAAGTTTTTTCCATACACAGGTTTAAATATTCGATTACAAAACCTTCCATTTTTTGAGAGCTCTAAATATGTTACACCAAATACATATTATTATCTACAAACATTACAAACTTTGCGATATTACGAATTTACAATTCATATTCGAATATTTGTGTTGGTTATTTAATTGTGTTACTATAGTTGGTAGTTTCCAATGTTTCCATAATACATTCAAATAAGGAAAAGACTGACACTAGAAAACAGAAACTCTATAAGTAACCCGTGGTACCGATTTTTCAATAAACTGATATCTAATCAGATTTTGAAAAAAAAAAACGAGACATCAGCATAATATTATAAAATATACAAGTATTTACTATTTTTATTTTTTATTATTATTGTAATTATCTTAAAAAGATTTATTTCAAAATTTGAAATTTTCCGTATATTTATATGTTTAGTCAATAAATTGTAAATTTTTTTTGAAGGGAACACAGTTATATTTATTATTATCGATACCTATGGGTGCATGTAAACTCCACCGATTGCGACCTTTTTAGACCTTTTTTCATGTAAATTCCAACGGTACGTCGATTTTACCCGAAAAAAAAATGTAAACTCCACCGGTACATTTTTTTACCTGAAAAAAAAAAATGTAAACTTCACCGGTATGTTTTTTCATAGCAGCATCAAGTCAATTTTCCAATTTTTTTTTTCAATAAAGTAATAAATATATTTTAATAATAAATTCCAAATTAAAATAACAAATTGTATAAAAATAAATATAAATGGTATTTTTAAGGTCATTTTTTGTGGACATTTGTGGGTAATTTTTGGAGCATATTCGACATTTGTATGGTTTTGAGTACATTTAAATCCGGGACCTAATTATAATATAACTATTGTAATTAAATACAGTAATTAAAAAAAAAATCATATAAAAATCAAATAGAAATAATAGAAAAATATATAATTGTTAACATTACGTAAGTAATACGTACCTACATAATTTATGTACAGATTTATTATTTATATATATTATATTCAGATACTTATATCCATTTTTACACAATATTAAAATAAATAATATAATAATAATTGAATATCTAATAGAGCTTTTGTAAAGAGATGTATATTTGGATTTTTATATGGAATTTATATTTTTTTTCAGGTAAAAAAATTGTATCGGTGGAGTTTACAATCGCTCATAGCTTAGCATATATCAGATTAATCGGGGATCGGGGTACGGGTATCGGATATTGGTAAAATGTGGTTTCAGGTACCTTTATAATTATAATATATCTATCAGTACATTTTGATCATTTCGTGCTTGGTAATTAAAAATACAAAACATAGTAAATAAAAATCACATACAATATTACATATATTACAAGCTAGTCAAGCTATATAGTTTAAATACATCCGAACATGAATGCAACTGTAATGAATAGTGATTATTTATATTAACAACTAATAATCCTGACTAGGTGGTGAGTTACATTATTTTACCTAGTCTGCTCGACTGTTTTTTAACTACTTCGGCGCCACTGATCCAGACATATATACAGTCCTTTATAACATTCAAATCGCACATGAAACTGCCGATATTTTTTGATCTTGCATTCTGAAACCTAACCTAAACTAACCACCAACCACATAGTTATATTGTTAATTCAACTATCATAAAGTTACCTTAATTAAATATAGGGGCGAACCGGCCCATAAAAATACGTGTTCAGCGCCACTAAATATAATGACGAGTTAGTACAATCGACAATTGCATAAATAATAGTTACGTATGTCGAACATTGACTTGACATGGTCACACGTGTTTCCAATTATCTTTCATATTATGGTTATTTGATATTAGTTACTAGAAATGTAAATAAAATTGTAATATTATTTTAATATACACAGTGTATAATACACTCGTGTTTTTGACTTTCATATCAACACGAACTGGGTGGAGACAATAATATTATTTACACACGATTACACGAAGAAAGCATCGACATGTTTTCAAGTGTACCGAATGTACCGATACTCGATAATCTTGCGAAGACGATGGTTGAACCCCAACCTATCGCCGACGTGTACGTTTTTGAGCGGTAGGTATAGCCAGACATGAGATACTCAGTAATATTTTAGAACATTTTTCGATTCGAATATAAAAATTAAAAATAAATTAAAAATACAGTAAAAACTAAAAAGGCACGACCGATTGAACGAATCACGTCTCGCGCGTATAATCGAACAATAAATTATTGTTATAATAGTCTGTGGTAACTGGTAGTAGTGTTGGTGCGCGCGCGCTCTCTGTCGGAACAGTCGTTCCGAGTGCAATCAAAGTCTCGCAGACGCGGACGAGTCGATGGCCGCCGAACCGCACCGCCGTCTGCTGCGGCGCCACACACGACTGCGGTGTGCGGACTGCGTAGTGCGTAGTGCACGGCTCGACAGTCGGACCGGTACCGCATGTAGTGGTCGTTGTTCTCGCCGCGTGTTCAACTGTTGCCTTAATTGCTGTTTATACCTTGTCACACGTGTTATTACGTCCGATAATATACGCGTGCATACTGCATAATAAATATTCAAATTTTGAACAATAACATAAATGTTTATATGAAATTCAAACGCCACCATCTTTATCAATAGTCTCCGACAGCAATCGAAAAGTCCGGGGAGTAGGAGGGTTTTCGTTCTAATAAGTACCGTCTCGCCACCGCGGTGATCGTACCTCAGCCGTAGGTCATTCGGTCGTCATTTTTCCGATATCACGGTCACGTCCGCGAGGCATGCTCGCCCGCGAACAACAGTGGCTGCCTTTATGAGACTGTGTTTCGGCCAGTGGTGTATCCCGTGGCCCGGCCGGAATAGAACGACCACGATTACCGGCGTGCCGACGACCGACGTGTTGCCTTTGCCGGAAGACTGCGATTACGACAACGTCAGCGTTTCGTCGGCAGTTGACGTGTTGTCCGCCACCGAAGAACCAATGACGCGAGCGCTGCAACCGTCCGAAGCGTCGTCGTCCGCAGGTAAACGCGACGATGATCATGTTCGATAATAATATTGATTAAATGATATCAATGATATTGGATCATAGGCGGATAGGGCTACCGGACATTTCCCGGTGGGCCCCACTTCGTATTTCAGTAATGGGGCCCTTTAATATCATATATTATTAAATCTTTTTTCATGTGGAGGCCCCTTTTTAAAATTTTCCGGTAGACCAAAAATGACCTATCCGCCCATGTATTGGATCTCTTTACTATATATTTTGATACAAATTATGTTATGCATAAGTATTATTTATTTGTGCTAATACCGTCGCCGTAGCCTTAAACATCGTAGTAAAGAAGCAACTATAGGTACATCGGTGATAATAACTAATAATACAATAAAAGGGCGTTCGCCGGCGCCGGCCGTCCGACCGAATCCGTTGCACAAGGTAACTGTCGGATAACAATCGCACAGGTTTGCGCGCGCGATTGTGTTTGTGTGTGTATTGGAACATCGTCATCGGATGTTTTTTTTCTTCATACAATAACATTGATTATAAATATCATAATATAATATATATGCTATTTATAAGTCTTAAGTGTGTCTCGTGTGTGTATGTTTTACATGCTATCAGTTGTGTCGCGGCGATAACAAAACGCACATATTTCGCGCACCGCGTGACGGACTCGGTTGCTAGCGCGCACGTATGTGTTTTGCAGCGCAGTGATCGTGTTTGTGAGCCGCCGAGCCAGTGCTATAATAATATTAATAATAATAATAATAATAATACAAATATAAAAACATGATATTTTCGTTCTTGACGGCGCAGCGGCGGTGGCACTATGGCACTCCCTTCCTCCGCGCTCGCTAGCAACAGTACCCCCCTCACCCACCCCGTACTCAACGTCACCACCAGCCGTGAAAAAAACACCTAAGTATAATCTCGYCGTACACTCTTTGCGTACAACTCTCGTAGACCGTGGTAGTCTTGTAGGTACCCACATATTAATATTATCGCGGTAGTGGTTGTTATTGTTATACCATTTTCTGAATATGGAAATGATGGGTATACGGACAAAGTGTAATTTATGACCGGTGTAGTAGCTGGTGGACGGCGGTGCGCATTAATTGGCGGATTTCCTGAATAATAACGTCCGTGTCATGAGCTGATTATTGGCTATTAAAATCGTATTATTGTAAATCTTATTTGTATCCATACATAAAAAAAAATAGTACATATTGTGCACGACCGCTACTACTTTATTTTGAATTATTGATAAGACGTATTTGGCAAAGTATTTGATAGGTACAATATAAATAATTAAATACGTTCGGTTATTGTACTGTATTCACAAAATCAAAAAGTCGACAAATAATTTAAATATGAACATATTATAAACACCTTAGTTTGCAGAATGGGGCTCCTTTACACCGTAGATAGGCACCGTATTATTTTATTTACAAAATTAAAAGTGCTAAGGTTAAACTATGACCAGCCCACCTCCGCGACCATCATCAAATTCTGTGTATACCACTGAACTTTAAAGCGTATCCTGATATATTTTATATACGTATATCGAATTATATTTTGGATTATCTTATTAATTAAATTGSTAGTCGGAAAAAAGTATACCGTTGCTGTCGAGGTTGCTGTATAAATAAAACAATATTTCCACTATACTTGTTATAACTTTATAAGTAATATTACAAGACATATTTTATATTTTATATATTTTTTATATTAGGTATTATATTATTTTCAATGAATTTAACATGTAATTATGTTTATAAATACTTATAATATGATAAAAGACTGAATTTAAATCTACTATTATATAACATGTAAATGCATTTTTTGTAAGTTTCAATTAAACCTAAGGAAAATATCTGAAAATATCTTTATAACTATGTAGATAATATTATTTTTTTATGTTCTTTCGTGAATATGTGAGAATAATTTTAATTCTAGAAAGGTACTTATTTAATTTAGTTGTTTGTTAATTATTTCAATAAAATATGAAATATTTTTTATTACCTATGACGTATGTGCCTATATAAATGTCTATATGATAAAAGACTGAATTTAAATYAAATATTAATTTGGAGCCTTTTTACCGCGAGACTATCTTACGGGGGACTTTTTTCCTAATATCTCAATAATAATTATAATATATACCTAAATTGATTAAACATTTAGTATGTTAATAAAACAACAAAATTATCAATGTACCTATTATGATAAAAATAGACATTAGCCATTAAGTATTATGAATTAATTAGGTGTATCGCATGCATTTTTAAATGATATATAATGAATGTTTAAACACTTGTAAAAAAAAAAAATAATACGTTCTGTATTATCAGAGATTTTTTGCCCTTGAGTTTGGTACTTAAACGGGAAATCTAATTATCTATCTAACAATTTATACAATTTTAAAGTTTTGTTCAAAGTGTTCATACTTCATAGATACTTGATAAATTATCAGGTTTTCTTTACTCGGTCACTATCAGCCAATTAAAAACACCTAGATCGGAATATCGGATCTAAGATGAAAATAAAACCGTATGGAAAACAATTCTAACATGTGTTGTCTTGTCTTACAAGTGCTTGCCGTGGTACGCGTGCAGTTCGCGCACTAGATCACGTTTAGCTCCGTTAGAAAATTAAAGTGAATTGATCTATACAATTTAAAGGTTTGAACATTATTTGCGTTTTTAAGTTGGGTTTATATGATAGTTAAGTATTTAAGTGTGTTATGAGCATTTTTAATAAATTTACCTTATATTATGTACGCAAAACACGCTAAAATATTGATCGTACATCATAGAAAATTTTCGTCCGTCAGTTTAAATAGTGTATTGTTAGTTTTGATATTAGAGTAAATCATGAAATTTTAAGGTAAGAATGTAAGATTATTATCTGGGGCCTAACATAGGTTACAATTTCAAAAAGGATATATAATAAGGAAATAGTACTATCAATAAAAGCTTAGATGTGGCCCTAGGTATTAATCTCATCATTTTAGTAGATCATGACGTGTCCTTAAGTTACATTTCATCATCTGAGTATTTGTCAGTATTCAGTAACTATTCGAAATTGTATTGTCAAAATAATGATCATTTAAATACACCTATTATATTCAGAGTTTTTATTGCTCCTGTTTATTTTTTCGTTATTAAATAAATGTTTAAATCTGTGGTATCAGAAATTGCCAAATGGGACTTCAAAAAATAAATAAAAAACGATAACTAGTTTAACTATACCTACATACCGAGTATCTATTGTATTCAAAACTGCTTAAAAATTTACGGTAGTTTGTATACCTAACGTAAATTAAATAAACAAATGATACAAAGAAACTTTATCTTGTCGGTATGATTAATAATTATGAACAATAATTATGTTAATTTTTTCAATAGCCACAAATTATTTATTTGTTAAAATTAAGATTTACAATCGGTTTTGTTAGCTCGAAGTTGAAGGGACAAGGCAAAAAGTTGGAGTTATCCAAGTTAATACAATGATAGGAAATCCTAGGGACGGGGAAAAATTTGGACTATTTAGAGTTAAAAAGTTCGAGTCAACCAAGTTCGACTGTCCCATTAACACAATAAATATTATATTTTGTATTATTTTAATGCTATACTCTTTAGACCTTTTTATTTTTGGTATGTACTATTCATATTTTATATTCTAAGTAAAAAATTTATAATTTTTACCGGCACCCTGTTCGATTTTTAATTATTAAATTTATTACATAATTCTATCATTTTTTTATTATACATGCCACATGGGATTTTGTTCCTAACTATATAAATGTGTAAACGTAAAATATATCACTTTTCAACAAACGGTTAATTTAACAATCTTTTTAATTTCCTAATTGAATCCTAACCAATCTAATGGATATACTCTCCCACGTCTGTCGATTTTAATAGGTATAATATTATAATTTTAAACGTCGGCGTTGCATTTTGCCAACGTAACTTTTATTGAAATGCTAAAACGTGTATAATACTGTATATTAATACTATTTCTATAAATATATTCAGTAATTTTAATTCATCGTTTTTGGATGATTATCAACGAAGGAAGAGACGTTTTTGTTTGTTGAACCACGTAATCACGTTTTAAAATTAGTTTTACMTAACTTCTGTAGCTGTTACCTAAACCGGTGTTTATCTCATGAACTAAACTGGTTTTTGCTGGATAACCGTTTATTATTGCTTTCTTTCACGTGTTTATGTATTTTAATCTTTTCTTATTATCCCTTCAAATCTCACATAAWTGTTTAAGATACATTATTTTCCGATTAAAATTTTGTTTTTTAGTTTCAAWTTACAAGTATGCTAGAGGTATTATAAAGGTCTTGGTAAAGTTTTTCTGTTTAATTATATGATTTATTTCATTAGCAAGAGTTAATTCTTTAATGGTCTGTTAAGTAGGTAACTAATGATTATGGAAAAGAAACACCTAACTAACTTACCTACTTTTATTACTAAACATATTATTATAAAAGATTCTCACTTAATATTACCTTAACCTTAAGTTTGTATTTCCTCGTAATAGTTATTGTATAATGAGACACCGTATTGCAGGCTGTTTTTATTATTTTATAATAAACAAAAAACTTATTTTAATGATTATGAATTTATGATGCACTTGATTATGTAAAATTATACATTTTAATATTTTATGGATAAGTTATATAATAGTTAAATATATTGACAATATTTTGTGGTCAAGGTTAAAGCTGTTTAGTCTTCAGTAGAACTAGTATATTTTGCTTTCGGTTACTGTTTGAACATTTGTTCTCCCCATTTTCAAAATAGGGTCTTTTAGCTCGAAATTGTATTGTTATTTTTAACGATTGCGCAGTTTCCAAGGCAGTTTCTATACAGATATTAAATATATCCACACGCTGTTTCGTTTTATCTTACATTCCCCCTATCAAATTACAACCTTATATAGATACAGTTGTATTAGCTGTGATTTTTACGTATACAGTAATAGTTTGACAATGTATAAAGAATAAACGATTATCAAATATGTATTATTTCTATATTAATTTAATGACTATCCAAGAGATTAGGCATTTAAATATTAACGTTCATTATTATTTTTCTAACGCTCGTGTTCGGTGTAAATTTTGTTCTAAATTTGCATTATAAATGTATAGATGTATTTGATTGTAATTTCATATTTATATTTATTTGAACTACTTGTCTGTTTTTATAATGTTAATCTTCTCAATATTCTCCAATATCTGCCTATGCATTTATGGTATTCATTTTATCTATTTTATTGTTATATATTTACTTAATTGACAAATACTTACTGCATGGCTATATTAAATTACTAATAATAAATTACTAATTAAATAACCAAACATAAATTTACTACGGAAAAGAAATGAAAAAATATTGAATATTCAGTATATTAATTTAATAATTTAATAAGGTAATAAACTATGGTTAAATAAATAAAGTGGACTGATTTAAAGTTGCATAATTTACGAATATGGGTACTGGATGGAGCCTATTAATTAAAATAATTTATAAATTAATTATATTATATAATTATATCATGTATAGTATTATCAATAATGGTATTAATAATAATATATATTATATAATAATATATATAATAATATATAATATATATTAATAATAATATATATTAACTACCAATATTAATTACCATTATAATAATATTATCATTGCATAATTATTATTATAATATTTTAACCGCTCAACATAATTATCATAATATGTACAATTAACACAGGGCCGAAAATTGTTTCTGGAAAAATTTGAACTTGACTAACTGTAAAATTAAATATTTAGAATTAGGTAGGCTCTGTTGTCTTATGAGAAACAAAATTTTTTATACATTTGCTTCTCTTWAAGAAGTTTTCAATTTGAGTTTTTGCTATTTATACCGGTCTTATTTTCTAAATGTGACATAATAGCGTTTAAGACCAGATATAAATCTAAATCAAATAAATACAATTATTTTAATATGGTTTTATCTTATGATTGTCTTATCTGTTAGGTGACACTGCAAACTAAGTAATTTAATTTAATTATAATTACCTATCCGAAAAATTGCTTATTATAGACAGTAAAGTAATTTTGCTAGATGTCGAACTCAAAGTACATGTTGTTTTGGTGATAGCTGATGAGTATGAGTCATACCAAAAATGATTTATTACCATAATACCGTGTATCAAGTCGACTGACTTATTATAGTGTATAATAATATTTAATATTATCAAGAGAAACATTTTATCTTATCTTATTTAAGCTAAAATTAAACATAAAGTTTAWAATAAATTTATGGCATAGCAGAGCAATTGATTGAAGGCTTTACSATTTGTTTTAAATTTTATTAATTTAGTTACTTATTCTGTTTATTCATGCGTTCAACGAGTACTTCAAACGACAATGCTATAAATGTTTAAAAAAAAACATCAAATTATATCAGATATTATTACTTTTAAATTATCTGCGTTTGCATCGTGGTTGTGTGTATAATATAATATAATCATATTACACAGTACACTAATTGTCCAGTTTATCTTGGCCATCGGCGACTGTTACGATCTCACAAAATCATGGGTCCGAAAACGGCAAAATCCCTTGCAAAATATATACCATATTGAACAAATTTTGTAATTTTTAATAAAATACCTATTTCAATATTAAATGTTTATATGAAATGTGATTTAAATATTGCTATTCAACTTTGAAGATATTTATCATAACAATGTTTTTTCACATCAATTTGTGTGGAAGTAAAAAGTCTTTAAATGTTTTATTGTAGGAGTAGCATTTTTTTTGGTTGGAAAGTGAATCTAGTTGGTAGTTTGGGTGATCAAATTAAATCTATTTTGTTTTTTGGTGTAATCCTACAAAAAAGAAATAATTGTTGATAGGTGACATTTTCACAGATGGTATATTTTAGTTAACACAATTTTCAAAATATTTTGGCATTTTGAGCTATTTATTGGGATAAGAAAATGTCGATTTTTATTAGTTTTTTTTTTAAATCATTGCGGATCAAAAGTTTTTTGATCGATCAAAAAACCCTATCAAGATCTAAAATTTAGATTTAGATTTTTAGAAATCCTATCAGCGTATAAATCAAAAAGCAGCCTATTCATGTATTATGCATTATATTTTACAATATAAAATTGTTTATATTGATTGTGTTGTAGACATGGCGGCTTCAGTAGATGCTCAAGATTTGAAAACGTTACTGGAAGCAAAAGATACTTTGATTCGTAACCTGGAAACGTTACTTCAGGCCAGGAACAACGAAATCCAAGAGCTCCGGTCCCATTTAGACATGTTTCAAAGTGTGTTTCCATTCAGCAATCCAGTTTCACCCACTAGTACGCTGCATCATTCTCACCACGTGGCGGCTGCTCCTGTTCATCCACAACAAAGCCAAAACCTCGTAGCTAAATCTCTTACGTCGCTTCTGGATGGAATAGCCAGACCACGTAAACAAAGGGCGCAAGGTATATCTGCAGAGCCTCAGAGTCTAAGTACCATACAAGAACTGAGCCAGAAGAAATTCCCTACTTATCCAAAAAATGACAGGTAATGAATATATATACTATTATAATATTATTAATCAAACTATTTAGTAAGAGTTACCCGACGTTTAGTTCTAATCGATTAAATAGTATGATTCTTAATTTAAATCATTTGTGTACACAATCGCATATACAGTAAAGTACTGTAGTTAAATATTTAATGTAAATTGTGCTACAATAGAAACTGTTAGTACAATGATACCTATACTTATAATAACTTAGAATTAATTCACGTGTCAGCAACATAATGATTTATAATAATACTATGCACTGAATCACCATTTCACTTACGGTTGCTTATCGCAGTGGCGTACCTGGGGGGGGGGATGGACAGGGGCATTTGCCCTCCCGAGAAACTTTTTGATGTAATGTAAATTCATTGTCCAGCTTAAATAATGTAAAAAATAAATTTTTATAATTTTCACTGATTATAATCGTGTTTGATATCAAAAGTTAGGTTTTCACATTTAAATTTGGTACGAAGTATTCTGGTAAGTGGGTGTGCATATTATTAAATTTCATGTCCCTGGCCCGTTTATAATGTTTATACAATTATTTTATATAAATTCACCATTTGTTATGTTCATATTTTCATAACAAGAGTATTTATATAGTTTATTAATAATATGTCGCTAAAAACTTGAAAATATCATAGCATAATATTCTGAAGCTCTAACGTTAGCGCATACTTAACACGTTCGTATTATGGACCATATAAACCCTAAAGTAATTCTTCACTATAATAGTTAATTAGAATATAAATTATGTTGACCATTGTAATTAATTAGTGCATGTGCAAGGTTGAACAACGTCGCCTTGAATAGAGTTTAATTTCAACCTATATAAAGTTCAAATACTTCAAATTGCATAACAATAATAAATGCAAATTTTTAGTTGGTGGTACTTTATTTTATTGTCAATTGTGAACTAAAATAATTACGCGAATAATTAAATAAAATAGAATTCTAATGAAGAATAGTGTTTTCTATCGATATAATAAAAAATATACGGGTATGGGTTCTTTGTTTATTTTACATATTAATGATTGGAGAGATACTACATTACTTTCACTATTCTTTTATCCCTAAAAACAATTAAAAACCGATGAAATTGATTTAATTAATATCAAAGACCTATTCAATGATGATGAACTTACTACTGTACAACAGAGTGACTTCTCCAAATTAAGCTTATGAACATTATGTTTTTATTAAGTAGGTGCACTCTGCACTATATATTTCGTATAATAATATCCGTATAAAATAAAAGTGGTAGGAAGAATAATCACTAGGAAAACAATTGTTATCAGTAAAATACAACCTCTTATCTTTACTGTCGTAAATAATAATTAATTTCATTTTAATGCCATAAATAATATGAGATATTTTACATCACAACATCTGTATATATTATTATTATATTGATATCTTTAATCCGTTGAATATTTAAATACACAATATTATAAAAAAATTCGTATCGTAATGTTCTGACTTTTGAGTGAAGTTAGATAATAGACATATATTAGCTATAGAAAAAATAAATTATGATGTGTTTTTGTTAAATGTTATATAATATGTTCATTATCATATTTTTTCAGTCGGAGTACCCAAAAACGCATAAAAGATACTTTTTTTTCAACTTTTCCAGAAAACCTTCTTTTATATTAAGCTGTTGGATTAAGTGTAAAATCTCTTCGTATATATCAAATATTTAATATTATAAATATGTTACGTGGTGTATAGCTTTATAGTGCTTATACTTAATATTATATTACATTTATTGTATTGATGGTCCAAAGTTAAGACTTGGAAAATATTATGCATTAGTTCTCTTTGATGAATCTATTCATCATCATCATGCATTAAATACGTAATTTTATAAGAAAGTCTATCAGTATCATAAATGCCTTGCCCATATAAATTTATTTACGAAGTTAGAGTAAAATAAACTATAATATTATGTAGATTCTGAACTACTAAGAAAATTTTAAATTATAGATCCATATGTCTTATAACTGATGATGCCCAGGTTTTAAATTGTTTTAACATTTAGAATTTCGATAGTTCTAGACTGAAATGTTTGTACCTACTATCGTCAGTATAACGATGGAAAGATGTAGCAAACTGTATTTATTACAGGGGCTCAACATTTCATTTTTAAAGTTGGTATCCTTAAACTATAATCACCGTGTTAACAAATATATTTTGTGTGATTATTTGCCTTAAATATTATATACATACTTTCAAAACTAAAATTAAAAGGGGAAAAGTAAGTAACTGCTCTGCTGTACTGTAGGTGTCGAGTGTGTTCATCATTTGAATTAGTTACTGTAGTAGATGCGTTAAATTTAAATCCAGTGATAAATCGTTGAATATGAAAAAAGATTTTTTACAGAAATCGGGTCTGTTTTATTTTATGAAAATATTCTAATATTCCTATTATAGTAATTTATTTTATAATTCGTAATAYAATAGGATGAATTAATTTTTGCCGATAAAATTGCATTGTAAAATAATATTGTGTGTATAAAATATAATAATATTAATAAGAATTACATTTTTCAATTTCTTGCAAATAATACTTTTAGATTACAACAATATAATTATAAATTGTTGTTTTTCATAGTWWACGTACAAATTTTCACTCAAAATGTCTATAAAAAAAATGCGCATTTATTTTTTTAGATTTGTTGGTAAATATTATGAAATACTCATGATTCATGAAGAAYTTTGTAATCAATTTTCAATCTTTTTGACACAAAAATAAATGTATTGACAATAGGCTAATTAAATGAGTTTTTTTTTTTTTATTGATCTGAAATATACATCGACAACTAGGCCATTAGTACACAAATTTTGATTACATTGTTAGTATTTTAGTATTTACATGATTACATTAAATTAATTTGTACAATTCTGTTTTTTTTAAGAATAAGATTAAGCTTTTAACGTCCTGTGGGTTTGGTCCTAGTGCTTTAAATAAGTTTGATTTTTCAAAAGTACCAACTATAGATCTAATTATTTTCTTCCAGAAATTACCCCCTATGTTTTTAAATCAAAACATTTTTTTTTTTTGCTGTATTCTAAATAAAAAATACAATAAAAATAAAAGCTTGATAAAAAATAACTATATTTTTAATTATTAACGATTGTCGATTGATTTTTATTTTATAATCTGATGACGAAAATAAGTTATTAAAAGTGGTCTATAATCTATATAATATGTTCCTGCAATGTAACAACGTCGCGGTCGTGTCACTTTGTTCACACTTGGCATATTATCAAATTGTCGTAACGTTTAAACGTTTAAACGTATGATATTATTAATATTATGTCAATTAGTTTACGATACACCTCACGTTTCAATCAAACGATCACGTATCATGGGCAATGTCATTTAAATACCTATTTTATTTATTACCTCTATTAGTTGTATACACGTCTTATATATGTGATCATTAATTGTATATATTTTTTTCACGACTTATAAAATATTTAATATACATTGGAACTTCATGTAATCATATTAGGTGATGTATAGAGTATTTCTCATCTATACTTAGTATATGATCTATTTGTATATACTATTTTTTTAATCTGTAGTATGGTATTAATATTAATATCATTATATTATTATTTATATTTTAAAATACAAACAAGATAATAAATAATAATTAGGTAATTGTAATACAATATGGCTAGATTAAGGATAGTTAATATTATTTGGTAATAAACGTACTGGTATGACTATAAAAAATCCCTTTTAATTACCGTCCTAAATTAAATATCGGTTAATATTTAGTATTTACTACTTGGTAGTGTCAGTAACATACATTAGAAATGTGGGAGGTGAAAACGCCTTCTCTAGATTGTTTTCAATTCATTGAAAAGTGAAAATGTTTCTATAAAATAATTTGTATTTATTATTTTTTATTATTATCCCTTTCCTGCATTTTTTGTTATAGGAGTTAGCTAACAGGGAGATTTTAGGATAATCCTCCTCAAATTCAGTTTTTAGTACGCCACTGGGTACACCATTGAATATGATTAACTATAAACCAAATCTTGGTAAAACTGGTATTCAACGAACCAACATGTATATTGTTTGCATTATGCCTATTATATACAAATACCTACAGTTTTTCGTCAATGGATTTTATTCTAATAATTATTTTTAAAATACAGAATTAATTTATGCAGCCATTTTAAGAGTTGTATATTATAATTAAATACCAACAACTTATTAATATTATGTTGTATACCTATTTAAGTGAGAGAGACTATAAGTCGATTTTGTCTCTCTGTATACATAGTATGTTTTATTATTTCGTTTACAATTAAGGTAGTAATGAACAATTAAATATAAAAATCGTATAGTTAACTTGTACTGTAAAAGTAAATAGTTATTTCTACTGTAAATCATGTTTGTTTAATGTGTATAAATGTATGTATAGTAGACATTATGCAAATGTTACATTTTAAGGAAATAACAATAATATACATTATACTCTAATAGTATTATAGGTGAAATATCGGTCACTTGAATTTCACTTAAGGTGTTTTCTGCTGTAACATTTTTATTAAATGGGGAACAGCGAACATATTTAACAATAAATTACTATAATAGTACGACGATGATTGTCGTAAACTCAGATTATACTGAAACAGACGGACTCTGTTACTTTAATATTGTTTATTTTCTTTCTCAGATTTCGATTACGACCTCTAGACTAGGTCATCATATTAATATACTCATTATTCGTTTAATATTGAATATCAGACTTCAATACATCATACATTTTTACTACCGTAATAATAACTATATTGTTGGACATAATTTCATAGTTCATAATTCAACATTTACCTAAATATTTTATTTATGAAATATTTTGTTCTCGTAGTATTTATGCGTATGTATTTGACTCTATGAACGTGAAATTTTTTTCAAATAATTTTAGATCAATTGTCAGAGAGACTGACGTTTATTGTAACTTTGGATCGATAT